CAAGTGTCAATGCTAAATCAGGCTATATGAATTTGCAATCTTGAGAGATTCTGCCAAACTGACCTCCACAGAGGCATGGCCATTTTCAGTTGTAGGCCATTTACAGAGCTATCAGCTATGTATGAAAAGAGCCAATTCCTCAAAGGTCTCATCAATAGAGGGTGCTCTCAAAGTTCTGAATGTTAGCCAATCCAAGGAAAAAATAAAATTTAGTAAAAAGAAAAGTAAAACCGCACTATCAGTGAAGCTGGATGTTTCATCATGTAGCCAAGAGCTATTTCCTTCTTGGTGACCTATGCTTTTCCCACCTTCTGCTTATACAAGACAACCATTCAAATCAGCAAGACACATAAAGCCAACACCACAGGAAAATAAGAATAAGTCCAGCTGTTCAATACTTTCTTCTTGGCTTTTAAAAAGTATTATCTTAAAATACCATTCTCAGACTGATACCTAACAAGTATGCTAAAAGTAATCTAGCCATTTCCTGGAATGAATGAGCTAATCAATCAAGCTCCCAAGCAACCCCATGAGGGAGGCAGAGTGATCCAAACCAGCTAAAATGGCCCCGTGAAGAAGCATTCTGTGTGGGCTGTGATACAAGCCGACCTGGCAAGCGTCTGTTTCTCTCCTTCCTGCCTCCCACCCCCCTCTCTTTGTACCTGCTCCCCAACCTCAATGTCTCTCATGACCAGAAAGAAAATAGCACAACTATTTTTTTCAGAATCAATAATTACAATCCAGCCTCACAAGTGAATAGAAGATAAAATGAACCCTCAAATTTAGTTTGTAATGACATATACATGGTAGCAAAAAGAAGCATATCCTCTTTAATTGAAAAGATAAAGCTTTACTTAAAGCAGGCACTTTTCACTTTTGTGCAAGGCGACTGTCACTGCCTCAACCAGCTCTGTCACTGAGAACATTCCTCTCGACCGCCATGGGCCATGAGAGCCTAGCAGAGAGAAGGTGAGAACCCCAAAAGCAGTCCCCCTCTATCGCTCACACCACCTTACAGAACAGCTTGCAGACTCATTTATCAACAAGAAAGCAAGGAGTCGAACAGCTCCACAGAAGGAAAAAGCCATTTCTCTTTAAAGATCCCTGGCCCAGCAGCAGTCCATCTTGCCCAATATCTTCTCTGGCCCTTCTCTAAGACTGAAAGTGTTAGCTCCACCCTAGGGAACGCATTTTAATTGCAGCTGCAAGAAGTTCCTGCTAACACCTTTACTGTTTATAAATTCCAGTGATTTAAGGGGCTTCATTCTGTGTTTCATAGCCCTTTAGATTTTAGGATCACACAGAAATGCTTTCAGTCTGAACATGTCCAGTGCAGGGTTATTTCTAACAGAAAAACCAGAAACAACCAAAGTATGGAAATGAGGAGCATGGTTAACTGTGAGACTTACTCTTAAGCAGCCATTAAAAGTAGTTTCTAAATGTTTTTAGAAATGCCTGTGAGATGATGGTGAAATGAACAATACAATTAATAGTCCAGCCTTGTCTTTGGGAAATTACTCAACCTGACTCTGAGGTCAAGTATTCTTAGCAAACCTGCTGGACACTCAGCCAGCCACTTTCTCCAGCAGAGCTTTATCAGGATATCAAGCTGATGCTGTGATCTCCAGCAGAAAGAATCTGCATGCACTATATAACCTCAGCCACATCCAAAATATGCATTTAAGAAGTCTATAAGGAAAGAAATCAACAAACATTTTCAAAATCATCTTCAGTGAACATATAGAATGGAATCCTAATTAGAGTAAGTTATACTCCATATACATATGTCAAAATGCACTCTACTGTCATGTATGCCTAAAAGAATAAAATAAACATAAAAACATGTCACAAACTATACACTGCAAATTATATATCTATATCTAGAAAAGCTAATTGGTTTCATCTTATAAACCAAGTACAGTATATCAGTATCTAAGGATGCTGAGGCCAAAGAAACTTGATTTGTTAGTAATGTTTAATACTGTCGTGGAATATGTATGCATGTTGTTATGATTTGAATCTGGAAAGCATCTCAAAGTCTCGTGTGTTTTTGAAGGCTTGGTCCGTCCCCAGTGCAGCAATATTCCGAGGTGAGGCTTTTGGGAAGTCCCTGGATCATGAGGGTTCCAGCCTCATCACTGAATTAGCCCTCTGATGGCTTCATACTTTGAAAGGACTACTGGGAGGAGATGAAAACTGAGGGAGGTGGGACCTAACTGAAGGGAGTGGGTCCTTGGGCATGCCATTGGGGACTGTACTTTGTCCCCAGATCCTCCTCCCGCCCTCCCTCCCTCTCTGCTTCACCATGACATGAGCAGCTCTGCTCCATCACACCCATCTTGCCATGTTCTATCTCACCCCCAGCCCAGAGCAATGGGGTCAAGAGCCAAATACCAAAACTTCCTAAACTGAGCCAAAGTACATCTATCCTCATTTAAGGTGATTTCTTCGGGTACTTCATTACAGTCATCAAGAGCTAACACAATACCATGTATTTCCTGACCTCGATGAAAATGTTCTATGATAAAGTAGATGTGAAAGGAAAAATGTGGAGGAATATCATTGGCAGAATAGTACCCCTCCAAAGACGTCTACGTCTCAATCCCTGAAACCTATGAACAAGGAACCTTGCATGGCAAAGAGGAATTAACACTGTGGGTGGAATACGGTTTTTAATCATCTGTCTTAAGATGGGGACACTACCCTGGGCATGTGAGTGGGCCCAGTGTCATTACAGGGTCTTCGCCGTAGCAGAGACGAATTGGAGAAGACATGCCGAGACATGCTGTGTTGCCGGCTTGAAAGAGGAAGGGGCCACACGCTGAGGAAAGCAAGTGGCCTGTAGAAGCAAGGGAGAAAGTGAATGGCTCTACTCCTGGAGCAGCCAGAGGAAAACACAGCCTGCCAATACCTTTACTCTATCTTAGTGAGACGCTGGCGAGACTTCTAAATTACAGGACTGTGCGATAGTAAGTGTGTACTGTCCTAAACCACTAAACTGGTGGTAATTTATTATAGCAGCCAAAGGAAGCTAATATAGGGGTGGGAAGGAGAGAAGACAGGGAAAGAAAAATAGCCACTGTGTGGAATGAGGTGCTCCACATGGAGCAATTTCATTTTGTCATGTTAAACCTGATTAACTGGGAAACACCACCTAAACCAACCAGCACAGGAAAGTTCCCTGACTTACAGGATGAAGGGATCAAGGACGGCTTCAGTATTCCTCACTCAGGCCTGAGTCTTCCCAGAATTAGCTCAGCCATAGCAGCTCCAGGCCCAGTATATTGGACACCAACTGTGTGACAGCAGTTGAACTTAACTAAAACCATCTCCAAATCCTCCTCCTCTGCACGTGAACCAAAGGATCCACAATCGTGGAAAGAAAACAATCAGGTTTTCATGGCAGAAACACTGCTTCAGCTGGGTCTGGTCAGGAAAGAGAAATGTCCACACTGAAAACCATGGCCTGGAAGCCAAGCCTGCCAATGCTGAGCAGCTGTGGCAGTAACTGATTCTGCTGGGTAGCAACGGCTGTCTTGGTTCTCTACTTTCTAGCTAATAACTTCACTAATCCAGAAAAGCTGGGGTCTCCCAAAGAAACACACCTTGGAGCTGTGAAATGTGAAATAAAACTCTTAATTTTCTTGTAAACAAATTATGCATAACACTGAAGACCTTCCCCAATTTAGACACTGCAACACTCCCCCAGATGTCACGTGAGTCCTTCCTAAGAACCCATGTTCATATAGATGTCAAAAGCAGCTACATAAGCAACAGGCTGCAATGGCCTTCCCGTTTCTAGTCCTCTCCCCCTTTCCAGGCACAAATAACTGAGAAGATGCAAGAAGAAGAGCAAGGACCACAGTGAGAGATGAAGGCCAATGCCAGCCCCTTCACTGCTGGGTTTTGAAAGCATATCATCCCTTCACCCTGAGCCACTTAACCTCTTCAACTCTAAAAGGAGAAAGCATGAGAATTCATGTCTCGCAGGTAGCTCTGAGCGTGGCATGGGTTTGTTGCTGGGAAGGGTCCTTGTCACTTCACAAGTGGTGAGCATGGGTGAGTCAATGTGACAATGGCCACTTCGTATAAGGAGATGTGTATGACAGAAAAGAATAAGGGTCACTAGTTGATTTCTGTTGTTCAGGTCCTTCATTTCTCCAACAGGGTGACAGTACCTACATGGGGAAGATCTGAGTGGCCAGACATTTAGCTCCTGGCATAGTAGTAGCATATAAGAGATGCTCAATAAATGCAAACTGTGAGCGTGGTGACCCCCGGTCCCTTCCACACCTTAGATTCTCTGGGATTTCACAGTAGACACCATTTCAAAAATCATGTTAGAGCAACACATTTGCAGATCCTGATGAGGCCATGTCCCCCTGTGTAGACCACCAGAAGGAGTAGCAGCAGAAGGGACTTTAAGGGTGATGTTGCCCTAAGTGATGAGCAGGCAATTTTAGAGAAGGAATCACTGAACCACAGTTCTGATGCTCAGTAATTGCACCGTGAGCAGTGAACACGTGGATACTGTGGCCTATATTAAGGAAATGTCATTTGGAGATAATAAAAGAATACAGAAGGCAATCATCTCCGGAGCCCTGCCATATGCTGGTCAACGGAGGGCTATGCCTCTTGTTCTCAAACGTCCCGACAGCTGGGTCTCATCACACCTGTTTCATCAGGTGATACACTTACAGTAGTAATTCAGATCTGAAGACACAAATATGTATCCCTAAAGCTGCACTCTCTCCCCTAAATCACTGTTTTTTGTTTTTATGGTAAAAATGGGCCTTGTCTTCTGTTTGCATCCTTTTACACACTGTTCCTTGTCTTGGAAGAGAGAAATGCCACAACTTCCAGAAAGAGAGCATGAAGGAAACCAAGGCATTCCCTGGACTCCATGTGTGACAGCTAAGGGGCCTGAAAAGCAAAGGTGATGCCCCAAAGCAGTCATTTCCAGCCAGCACCTCCACCTCACCTCCCCCATGTCCCCTTACCTTGAAGGAGGCGTGCTGCTCCATGTGCCGCAGCAGCTGAGGCTTCTGGGCTGCCGTGTAGTCACACACTGTGCACTTGAACTGCTTCCCTGGAAAGAAGCGGAGGACAAGGTGAGGACCAGGCCGGCAGCCCCTGCATGTGAATGAGGGCTAGGCATGGAACCGGGTACATGCAGTGTCCCTTGCCACATGGGAGCCAGCATCTCAGGTGGGGACAGGAAGGAAGTGTACAGATCCAACGCAGGATGCTCAGTCTTCGACAGGTGGGACTGGAAAGGAGCCCACCACTGCAGAAGGAACAGCCAGGTCCACCAGGAACTTCCCAACCCCCACATCGACACTCAGCAGGCTCCTAAAGAAAGAGCAGGGTGTGCCCAGCCACCTGGAGAAAGGGCAGAGAAGAGGAGGGGTACACACAGGTGAAAGCTAGAAGTCAAAAAAATGGAGCAGCTGGATCTTCCTCTGGAACCCTGAGGGTGGGGTCTGCAGGAAGTCAAAAGCTGAGCCTGGGTTTGGGGGCTAGAATGTCAAGGGCCTGAGTATCTCACTCAGGAACTCAGATGGGATCCTGAGAATCAGAGGAAGCTGCAGAATGGCATTCTTCAAGCAGCAAGCTTTGTGTCACAGAACTGCTAAAGCTGCTAGGAGTGTAAACAGCGTTGTTGGGGGAATGCTAGAAAGAAGACTACAGAGAGTATAAAGCACTGCTCTCTGGGGAAGATTAATGTTTCAGCGATATTTAAATATTCAATAATGGGATGAACAGGCCAACATGTAAAACAAATTAATGGATATATACAGGGCATACTAAATTATTTGTTCCTGATTAGTGTAAATAAAATCTCCATTTGCAACAATAAAATGCATGCAACCAAACAGAAATATGTCCTACTTCCCATAGCAATAAACCGTTCACCATCAGCTTCCCAAGGCGCAAGCATCCTGGGAACACAGCTATCTCCCTGCAGCATGGCTCCCAGCAACACTGGCTCTTCTGAGCATTCTCCTCTTAGCCCGCCCCCTCAGGCCAGCTGTGTGGCTGTCTACAGCTGCAAACTCTGTGCTCTCCAGCTGCGCACCCCTGAATCCAACCAAAACTGTCTGCTGCCAGCAGCAGGCTGCAAACCCCATTCTCACCAAGGTAACCACTGAGCTCCAGGAGGCCCAGCCTGTGGTGGATTTTTCAGCTCTACTGAGTGTGACTGCTGTCAGTCCATGCTCCAGAAATCTCTTTGGACCCATGACACTCCACCTCTCTGGGGCTCTGACTATTCATTCTGAGTATTTTTGAGGTGGTTCCTGTCTATTTTCTTTTACACCATGATGTTCCACAGCATTCCAGCCGCACAACTATTCTTTTCATTCAGCAAGCATCCTTGCATATGACTGTCCCCCACAGGTTTTTATAATCCTTTGATGCCAAAGTCTACACTACTCTGATCTCTTCCCCAAACCTGAGACTTAAGTATCCAACTCTACTGGCTTGCTCCAAACGTCCTGAGGTAGACTTGTTATCTTCCTCACCAGATAGGCTCCAGCTCCAGTCCTCCTAGTTCAGCACCCACATGACCACCAAGTCAGATACCTGGTGGCATTTTTCAGCATTGTTATGGCCCTAACTTTCACTGTATGTATTTATTTTTTTCAGCATCTGATTTCATATCCTAACTACTCGACATGTCTTGTCTATTTCTGTTTCTATACCTTCACATTGGTTTGGATCCTCCTCATTCCTTTCCTAGACAATCGCAAGAGCCCCTAAGCTGGTGTCTTTGCCTTTGTGAGACCTTCCCATCGATCCACCATCCAGCCATCCACTGTCCATCATCCACCACACATAACCAGCAACAGGCCCAAATGCAGAACAGCTCAAGTTCCAGAGCACAACACAGAAGGTCCTCCAGAATCAGAACTAACCCCCTCTTTCTGTGACCTCCTCTTGTGCCTGTCCCCTCTGTAAATGAGCTTGGTTAACACAGCTACTTCACCTCTCATAACTATATGCCTACCTCTGTGGTCTCGGACCCCTGAGATTTTGCTGACATTTTCCATGGCTGGGAAGCAGTCTTTCAGCATCAGGCCATTCTTTACTTTAACTCAAAACTCAATTTGAACAACATCTCTCTAGCAAAGATGTTGTCTGGCCAAAAGCCAGCCCCTACACACCAGCTATATACCTCAGTCTAGGTCTCCTTATACAGCACTATAACCACCCGCTTACAATTCAGGGGCTGCCATAAACTGCCCACAGGCAGGAACCATGTTTTGCTCATCTTGGTGACCCCAGGACTTGTGTGCATGCAAGACTGGACATATCCATGCATTTTACTAAGCTAAACTGGGCAAGGAACAAAGAGGAAAGTTTGTGCATCTTGCATGAATAAACACCCTTGATAAAAGCAGGGGGGTAAATTCCAAAATCCAAAAGGTATAAACATCAATACTATAATTGTACCTATCATTCCAGGTACAAATTAGACTTTACTGATTCTCCACGTCCAAACGTGGGAAAAATTTGCACATGTAAAGCATGTTATCATCAGAGAGCAACTGAAACCTTCTCTTAAATACAGTGTCCTTTTTTTCTCACACATAAGGCCACACACTTCTACACATCATCAGTATAACCTCATTCACACACACTTCTCTACTGATACATGAATCACCATGTAAATACGCCATCCCTGTGCCAGGCAGCCTGAGGAAAGTGGTATTTGGATCCTTCACCACCACAGTGAGTGGAGCAAAGTGGAAGAACCATTCTCAGAGGTGATAAATATTTTGTCACTCATAATCAAACACTCAGATCAAAGAGTAAAAGATCAAGTGCTAAAAAAGGAGACTGGAAATGCGTAAATGGAGCTGCCTCGCTCGAGATCAGGAGTCAGCCTGGCCGATATACGATTCTCCAAGCTCTGCAGCAGGCAGGAAAGAAGAGTGCTCCTAAGAGGAGGAGCCTCAACACTGCCAATGTTTTCAGCAACCCCCGACAGCCCTGATCAAACAGGCAGGCCTGGGAGAGCATTTGACATGATCTGCTGCTGCCTAATTAAAATAATGGAATGCAGGTTCATGACTAGTCGTAAAGGAGAGATGCCGTGAGATTATCAGGTTGCACTCTTATCAAGAGACTCCTGAGAATACAGGAAAGTGGACAGGAAAAATTAGCATTTACTACGGCTTCAGTGACCTCAAAGGGCAACAGATGAATGTCACATGCCTGTGGATGCAAGTCACATAGCATCGCAACAAAAAAAAATAATTATAAAAAAGAAACAGAGACTAATTTTTAAAAATCACTCACTTTTCACGCATTGTACCTGGCTAGTTCTACCTACTGACCTCCTGGGCACTGTGAACACTGCCAGCCCATGACACACACAGTCTAACTGTGCACCCAAGTCTGCGAATCAGGGAGCACTGCCCACCAATGGTGCTAATGGTTAAGGAACTAGGATCAAAAACCTGAACAACTTGCCAGGTCACAAAGTGGTAGGTGGCAGAGCCCAGATTTAAACCTTGGTCTATTCGACTGCAAAAATCCTGTTGACAGTCACACAGTCCTTTCAGCTAATGTTGGTGCCTTATAACTTCCCCAAGGCAAGAAACAATTTACACCAGTGTCACAGTTTGAATGTGAGGTATCCCCCACTCAAAGCTCCTGTTAATGCAGAAATGTTCTGAGGTAAAATGATGCATAATGAGAGCTGTGACCTCTTCAGTCCACAGTTGTCTGAATAGGTTCATTGGGCGGTAGCTGGAGGCAGGTGGGGCAGAGCTGGAGCAGGTGGGTCACTGGGGCTACCCTGGCAGGGCTCATCTTCCCTGGGCCCCTTTCTACAACCCCTCTGCTTCCCGGCTGCCTCACCTTGGGCCTAGACCAGTACAGCTGATTGCCTACGGAGACCTTCAAAATCATGAGCCCAAACTAAATTTTCCCTCAAGTTGCTCCTGGTCATGGTAATAAAAAACTGCCAAAACAACCTGCAACGGGCACATTGGTGCCACTCACACACAACGTGGCTTGTTGCACAGAACGGCTGTCCACTCAAAAGGGCCACCTGAGGGGTCAGTGGCAGGGGATGTAAGTGCTCTGTCTGGCTTTGTCCAGCTCACCCTGTATGACCCTGGGCTCATTCTTCTTTGCTATGCAGAGACCTCGTCAGAAAAAAGCAGGGAGTCAACGCTGCCTGGTAGGAGGATGGCCATAGGCACGGGTCCTGGACACCTGAAAGTAAGGCAGCCCCTGAAGTAAGGCCAGGTGTGTATAGGGGACGGAGCAGCAGTCCCTCCCCATGGTGGCCACCAGGGCCACTTGGCAGTGCCCTGTGCCTTTAACTCCCTTTCACATTCTTGGAGACGATCAGAAGATTCAGTTCTAATTAGGCCAGCCTAAAGCTCAAAGATGGAGACAGCAGGAGGCAATGCCTGTAAAGCCAGCCGGGTACCCAAGAGCTGAGGAGGCCCCATCTCCAGAGCAGAGCCCTCAGCTAGCCCTGCTGGAGGGCCCTGGAGGTGGACGTGCTCCCACTCCGCTCCTGGGCACAGCTCGCAGCGCCACCGCCACTGCCACCGCAACCGCCACCGCCACCGCAGGCCTGTGCTGGCTGTTCCCAGTGCCCAGGACCCCCCCCACAGGTCCCCCATGGTCTGCTGCTCTGCTCCCCAGGTCTTCACTGGAATGCCACCTTCCTTCCCACCGCATCCCCTCAGAGCCATCCCCATCCCCCCATCCTCCCTTACTGAGGCATTTCTTCCATTTTTGACCTATATAGTTCTATATTGAAACTGAATCATTTCACATTTTTACTTCATATCTCAATTTCTCTACATTTGAGATATTTTCCTATTTCCCTTGTAATACAGCATTTTTATTGATCTGTATCATGTTTATCATCCGTCTCACTCACTGGAATTTTAGCTCATGACAGGTTTGTTTTGCTTGCTGGTCGGTGCTGCCCACAGCTATGCAGAGGCTGCGCATGGCCCCCGGCTGGTCTGGCTGGTGCTCTCACAAGGTGTGGGCACTGTGGGGCAAGGACTGTGCACTTCTCCGGGAAGTAGGTACGAAGGGTGAGGCAGGCTGGTG